CAGAGCAAGCTATGGTAGAATTAGAAAAATCGTATATCATATACAATTACACTTGCTGTGGTATATTCCACGTTTTTCCCCATGTCACTTAGAAAATTCATAAAAGAAATTCGCCCCCCTCAAAAATTCAAAAACTTGTTAAAATATGCCCCCTTCAAAATTGTTTACGCCATGAAACCCCCCTTTGGGGGTTTTCTCAAAGAACATTTGGCCAACTTTACTGGAAGCTCATTTTTGTTTTTCTAATTTATGATAAATTATAACTCATTTAATGCAATAGTCAATATTTTTTTCTTATTCTGTAAAAAAAAATAAATGGATTGATATATAATTAATAATAATAATAATAATGCTTTATTTATTCTTGGACGAGTCCCTTTAGAATAATACAGAGAGACAAAAATGTGGGCTAAGGAACCTCAGAGATACATAAACAAGAATATAGTTTGATTAAATAGTAAAAAAAAAAAAAAAAATAATAAGAAAAATTATAAGTTACTTTCTAATTTAAATCAGTTAATAATAAAAAATTACCTAAAAATCCGGGCAAAGCAAATGTAAAAATAGAAAACATAATTTTTATTTTAAATTACTTTAAATATTTTTTTCCTTAGCTTCTAGGGGTCATTGGAACGAACGCCGTAACATTTTTTTTAAATATATGTAGTATCACAGGAAAAAAAATGGTTGAATTATTTGACCCACTGACTTGTTGGTGACTTTTTAAAAATCTTATTTATTGAAAAATATTACGATCTGTCTCTAGGACATTTATAATAGAGTTCACAGATCACATTCACACTCTATGTACAATAAATAAAATAAATTATTCAGAAAAATAACATAAAATAATTTTTAATAAATTAATAAATTTTCGATACGTTGTTCAGACACAATACAGTCTGTTCCGTTGATCATGAGCCTCCTCCAATCAGATCGATCGAACTATCCTTCGTGTATATCGCTCTGAGCAAACGGAAGACCAATGGCCTAGCAGATTATATCCTCCAGACCAACCAGGAAGGACTTATCTAGACAAAAGAGCACTGAGTCAACATGAATTGTCGACGAACGATAAGGTTGTTTGTCCACTCAGATAATCATGATTTGTCTTGTCTTGGACATGACGCCTCACAGCAAATGATCGATTCAGACTTAAAACAAATCGAGATATCGAAAGGAGTAGACGAAGCGATCGAGAAGTGAATGGTTGGAGGTAGAAGGTGGTCAACATCTTTTTATAAAGGTTGCAATAACCAGGTTTGTTATTTTTTTCTTTTATCATTATTTTGTGATTTTTAATACAATACGTATCTCTTCTTAATAAATATTTTTATTACACGATTAACCAAAGCGAAACGAGCGATATGTGTTTGAGTCCGATAAAAGCTGTGTACTCTTTTTTGAGTGAATGACTGGACCGATGTTTAAGTTTGATGGCTTAAATTATTTTGTGAGATCTCCTGAGTGATTTGAACTCAAAAAAACTGACTCGTTATTAAATAAAATGTGTATAATAAATTTCCAAAAAGTTTTGTAACGCTGTTTTGAACGAACGGCTCGATCGATTTTTATGTTTAATATGTTATATTATTCGGTGAGGTTCCATGAGTGTTGAGAAAGCAAAACGATACAAGGATAATATGTTCGGGGTATCCACTAAAATTTATTTCATTCTGTTTTGAACGAACGACTGGATCGATTTTTAACTTTGATGGCTCAAATTGTTCGGTGAGATTAAGTAAGTGTTTTAAAAATAATTTTAACTCAAAATGTTGTCAAGGTACTGTGTAAAACGTGTGTAATAAATCCGCTAAAAATTACATAAAAGATTGTTTTGGCGTATGATATGATCTATTTTTAACTACAATTACTCAGTTAGATCTCGTTAATGTTTTGAAACAATTTGACCTCAAAATACTAAAAAAAAAATGTGTTTCAGCGTTGATATAAAGTGTCACTTCCGGTTAGCCGGTTTTGAGGAACAGATTGCAGCGACATCTAAGGCATATACCTATCATAAATTCGTAATATCAGTTTCGTACGACTTTTCGTTTTCGAGTTAGAGTGTTCACATACACACAAACCATTTTTCGGGACTTGGTCATTTGGACTCAGGGTACCCCAAAACGTCTATTTACGTTGACAAATTAGATTCAAAATTTTCTCGATCGCAATACTTACCCTTACTATATATTACATATATACGTAAGTGAAAGTAAAAAAAATCGCTAAACATTTACAATTTTTTAAAAATAGATCTTTCCTTAGTTTAGCTACTCAAGAGTTCCCTCAAAATGGTTTTAGTAAAGACAAACTCTATTTTAATTTGAAGAAAATTTTGACATTTGACATTATTAATGTTGTTAATTATTTATATTAAATATTTCTTTGGTTATCGCTTCCTATTCAACAAAAAACATGACATACTAAAAAACCCACATAACTTGAATTTCCTACTTTTCTTCTGAAAATAGGCTTGTTGTTTATATGATCTTTTTTGTAGCACTTAAGGCCTGCTATAAATCCTATAAGTTCTCTTTACCTCTGGGACATCCTGTATAATATATTAATTAGTCCAGGATTAATTAATTGGATTTATTTTCTCAAAGGATTATTTGTATTTATTTCTAGTTAACAACATTACCTGTATAGATTATGATTTACAAAGGTGGCAGAATTAAAAATAACCTTACTAAAAAATTTAATTTAAGATTTCTCGCGGAGACAGAGTAGCTATTATAAAACCTATATTGAAGTGAACAGAGTTATGGACAATGAGAACTCTGTAATGTTGTTGATTGCAGCTCTGTTTCTGTTTACGCACTAAAGTTGGAATTAATCACTCTAAACTACTTATAGATTAGTTAAGGAGCCAATTAACCTTGTGGTAGAGGCATTCTGCGAACGATTTAAACTTGTTGACATTGAGCTCGGATGAAACTGAGTGGATCATTTAGAACTTAGTAACTTTGAAATCGATCTTCGTCGTTCAGAAATGTTCTGAACCTTTATATCAGTTACTTTCACTAGCGGATCCAGGATTTAATTTGGGGGGGGGGAGGGGAAGAGAGGGCTTCAGCCCCAACGCTTTTTTTTCCATAAAAATAACGATAATTGCTTTGGAAAAAAAGAAAGAAAATAACTACCTATATGAAATGGTGTTTAACTGATTCCTAAAGTCCTTTTAAATGTAATTACACAAACAACAACACTTTAAGAGATAATTTTTTAATATTTTTTTTCTATAATATATGGTTATATTTTACTATTTTGGGGGGCGTCAGCCCCAAAGCCCTCCCCGTAGATCCGCCCGTGGGTCCTTTCATATGAAATCTCAGTTTTCACAGGAATGCTTATTTAGTACCTAAATCAACTTTATGAAATTGAAATATTTAATCTCTTTCTGTACATTTCCACCATTGTGTTATCAAATTTTCAATCCTAGTACTGAAAACTTCAGGATTTTGTGAAGAAATGGTCATACAACGCATTTTTACTTTCACTTACCTACGTATGCAAAATATATGTTTGAGGAAATACATGTTTTGAGGTCTCCTGAGTCCAAATGACCAAGTCCCGCAAAATGGTCTTTGTATGTATGTATGTGGTCAGTCTAGCTCAAAAGCGAAAAGTCTTATGAAATTGCATATTTAAGGTTTTTATAATTCTTGGATGTTACAGCAACATTTTTGTCAAAATCAGCAAACGGGATGTGGTACTTTATATAATCGATTTAACACATTTTTACGATTTTCTCAAAAATTGCTGTAACGATTTTGATTAAACTCAGTATCTCGGTGTATTATTAGGTATTTTTAATATAATGTACGTTTTATTCTCATTCATGTTCTCTAAAGAGCTTAAGTGGCTAATTTTCAATATTAGCTTCCTCTAGAGTACCTTCATTATATTTTTTTAAATTTTAAATTATTAACCATTTCACATTAATATTGAATATAAAAAAAAATTAAATATCAAATATATAAGAATTTGACACTAAAGGAAAAATAAGAGATCGTAACGAATAATAGTTGTAATAGAGGAATCAAAGGAATACGAGCTCGCCCGAAAGATTACGACGGGCTTTCCTACGTTATATGAGGTTAATGTAATACGGAATCCGACAATATTATGTACATATACATATGTGGTTTTCGTAAATGCTATCGTTAGCATTATTTAATATTTAATTGTAAAGAATACAGCGATATAAATATCAAAATTTGTCTATATAAGGGCATTTAAACAAATAAAAATACCCATAATGAAATGTAAATAAATAGCTGTTTGAAAATACTTATTTATGTTAAGAAGAGGGTTGTAAGTGGAAGTTTTGTGATGGAGCGCACCAGATTTTTGACCTAAGTATCATTTTCAGATTAAAATCTGTTGGATAAAAGTCTGGGGAATAAGGTGGGTTACTTCTTAATACAGCTCGTTTAGTTTTTTCACTGTTTGTCATGAAACATGAGGTCTTTGACATGTTGTTTTTTGATTTTACGTATTTGAAGCATAATGTCAATATCACTGCTCTGCGATGTGGATGTGATGGTTTCACCTCTGGGTAAAAAGAATAAATGAATTATTCCTTCCATTGACTACCAAACAGAAACAAATAAAGTTTTTACATTAAAATTTTTGAAATTGGTTTTAAATCGAATTGTAGAATCAACTTGCAAATCCCCTTTTACTTCCTCACTAAAAGCTAAAATATCTACGAATCTCGTTGAGCCTTCCGCATCTATTCAATGTACTTCAAGGAAATATCTATACTTTTTCAGGAATTGAGCAATTCCATGCTTTATATTATTGTGCCGGTGGGTGGGAATAACAAGGAGTATGTTATTCGGACATTTGTCCAATGCATGAGCTGTGGTTTCTGACTCTCTGTCGCATTTGCGACTATAATATAACTACAATAATGTTTTCCAATACACTAATATATAAGGATAATTATTGTTAATTAATTAATTATTGGTGTTGCAGATCAAACAAGGATGGGGAGACCAGAAGAAGCTGAGGTGACCCTCCCCCTGGAGCCGAGGAACAAGGTGACGTTCACCAGGTTGCCGGCCACCGAGCCCGTGGAGATCAGGTTCCAGGATCTGCAATACAGGGCAAACCTGGGCTTCAGGAAGGGTAAGTCGATTAGACAGGTATCGATTAGGTATATAAAAAGACCTCAGTCGTAAAGCTAAAATTAATCGATAATAAGTCGATACGCGAGAGAGTAAGAATAAAATCGATATTTTCGAAAAAAAAATCTCTGACGACATAATAACGGACCCCTCAATCAAAGAAATAAGAAAAGTTAAAATTAAAATTAATAAATTTATAAGAGAAAATTATAAAATCAATATTGAATATTTAATAGTTGACCGTTGCATTATAAAGGAAGGATATGTTCCGGGGTTGCGGTCATAAATAGGCTAAATTGTGGCAAAAATATTTTATTAAAAGCCAACGTTTCGACTTTGCAGGTCTTCTTTATTTAATTTAATTGTTAATTGTTCTAAGTATTTCCGCTTTGTATGATCTCTCTTTTATTTTATTTTAATTTTATATTTACATTATAAGCCGGTAAAAAATTAGGACTCGAAATAAACGTGGATAAAACAACATATATGGTTAGCTGCAAAAATGGCGATACTACTGGTGATATCGATATAGATGGTAATATGTTTGAACAGGTAGAGAAGTTTAGGTATCTAGGTTCTACGATAACTAGAAAAAACGAAATTGAAGAAGAGATTAAGGTTAGACTGAAGGCGGGAAATGCTTGTTATTTTTCTGTGACAAAACTACTTAGTTCGCCCCTCTTGTCCCGAAACTTAAAAATTAGAGTCTAAAAAACAATTATCTTGCCTACAGTTCTTTATGGATATGAAACTTGGCCGCTTACATTAAGGGATGAGCAGCGTCTGAAGGTTTTTTGAAAATAAAGTATTGCGTAAAATATTCGGACCGAAGAAGGATGAGTTAACCGGAGGGTTCAGACGGTTACACAACGCCGAATTGCGTGAACTGTATCCGGGTAATATAATTGAGGTAATTTCATCGCGGCGAATCAAATGGGCTTGTTAAGTGGTTGGGCTTAGTAACGAGAGAATTCCTAAAAGGTTAATATTTGCTATGCCGAATGGTAAGCGTCCGAGGGGTAGACCGAAGCGAAGGTGGGAAGATTGCATTAAAGCCGATCTGAAGGGACTGGGTTTGGACGGCGAACGGTGGAGGGAGGTGTGTAATAAGCGATTGGTGGTGTCGGCATCGAACCTTCGGGTTCGCTAGGCCTTTTATTATTATTATTTACATTATACATGAATCTATGATCATCCTTTTTTTTTTTTCACTTTGTATTCATTTTACTTTTTAACCATGTCTCAATATTATGTAATATTTAAATGTAAATTTTTTACGTATGTACAACCAAGTATAATTATAATTATTTTACTGCCATTAGTCTGTCTGTCTGTGCCAAGATTATCTCAGGAACTAGTGAAGCGATTTTGTTGCTCCGTTTTTTATTTTGTAGTATTTTGACTAATGATTGCTGTGACACAAATTGGGTGATCCATGCGCAATAATATTCTCGTACCAAATTAAACAAAACAACTGACAAGACTATCAACCGTCATATCTTCTCATGCTACATAAAAAAAAAAAACCGCTAATAGGTTATTATCTCATTATTGCACAATCGTTTCTAAATTATAGCTAAACGGTTTCTTCCTTAATGATTTATGTATTATGTGTATATTACAGATGGTGAGATTTCTTTATAATAATTTGATATACCAAGAAATTAGTTTTTCTTCGTTTTCTATCTTCCTAGATATATAGATATGTCTAAGCCCTCTTTATCAGGTTTTTAACTAATTCTACTTTAAAATTTTGTGAGTGGCTCCATTTTATTGTAACTTAGGACTTTTTTATTTACGAAAATTCTCAGAAATTAGACGTTTTCTCATTAAATTAGTCAATTCAATAAATTTGTATAAAGCAGGACGAAATGAAATTTTAACTTTTATTGAAGTGAGATTTTTTAGGCGCGTTTTGTATTTTTTTGTGAAGAGAGATTTAGATTGATCCGTCAGATTTTCGAAGTGTTAACGCTCGGATTAAGTCGGCTTCAATCGACTAATTGTAATGTACATATTAATGGTTTTATTGAGTATTAATACAGTCTGCCACACTGAAAGAAATTGCTACTAGGGCTATCCGTACATATATTATTACAGTAAGGCTCGAAATCGGTTTTGTACCAAATATAAGCTCCTGTCATGTTCAAATACCACGAATGGGGTACCGTTGGATTCAGAATTTCACGGGGGGTTAGCGAATCGTATTCTCCACTTTTGTTTTTCTTTCTAAAATAAATAAAGTCGATACAAACATTTTGCTAGGCTTCGATACTGGAACGGTGGTAGGTCTGTAGATCGATACGGGACAAATTGGATCTTAAAGATTTTGATGCGTACAGCAAGACCCGGATAATTCCTCCAGAACTATCGGATCCTGCGTTTTTAAGCCGAAAAACGTACTATTTTCGAGATAACGCAAGGCATAGGGTTCGCATCCACACAACCTTACATTAATTGTACTGTCGTTGAATACATGTCTCATTTCGTCGACTTGAGGTCTCTATGATCGAGAGAGGGGGAGTTTACATTATTCATCGATGGTGTTTTTGATCGGCAAGCCATATCATCGTTAATTTTTCACCAAATCTCAAGATTGAGCCACCAATTTCGAAGGATTCCTTCTCCTTCAGGCTGGCAAAATAGTCCAATCACCCAGAAAATTCAGGCAAACAAGTTATGAAAGAAAATAAACTTTATTTGCGAATAACTGAAAAATTACACACTTTTCCCTTGATTATGCCCATAATTATATAAAAGATTACTAAATTCCCTACAAAAGGAAAAAAAATCAACGCAATCGAACAATTTTTAGCAAATATACAGCTTACTGAAATTTGTATACATGTTGGTTCCAAACAAAAATGAAGATTTAAATTAATTTTTGTTTGCTTTGTGGATTATATTTATCGATAATTTAACAATTGATTTTTTTTATTTTTTGATACATTGAATTATTTTATATGCTTATTAATTGGACATTTGATAACAATATGCTGTGCGAATTTTTCGCACGGGCCTACTAGTAGTATTTATTCACACAATATGTACATGAGAAAGGAAAATAAATATAAATAACAAAAGTAGAAAAAAAAAATATATAGATATAAATAAAAAGATAAAACAATATACAAGATAAATAAAATAACAGATTAAAGCCGAATGATGCAATATATACCGAATACAATATTTACATTGGCCCAGGGTACTCTGAATCAAGCTTTGTCCCCCAAATGTGGAAGCCAAAGCAGGACTCCAGGAGATCCTAGTGTTTCATTTCCAGCCGCGTCAATCGTATTGGAAGCCAGTGGAGACTGATATAATGTACATATAGATTAAAATATTTTATAAATTAAAAAATCGTTCCTCCATACTGTAAGCGAGAAGATTGTTCAGAATTTCATCCTCTCTGTAATAGGCTATAATTCAAAATTTTATCTTAACGCGAAGCCGTGTTAGGGAGGCGAAAAGGAAAAAATTGAGTCCGGAATCAAATGATAATGAGTTTAGTTTAACATAAGGACTAAAATTTCTCAGAAACTAAAAAAATCGGACCAGCGTACTGTAAGCGATGGAAATGTCCAGCATTTCATCCTTTACATAATGAGGTAATATTAATAATTTATATTTGATATTATTAATCTCGCCTTGATGTTTTTACTTCTATCGAATGGTCTGAAGCACACGCCTCAGTATTTTTAAATAACTTCGATATGACTGGTATTTTATTTTATTTTCCCCTTGTTGTTTCGGAATTATAACTTTTTCCCTTTGCAAATTTCAAGTAAAATTTTTACAGAACTTTTATTTTATAAATATAAAAAAAAAGTTTAAAGGTTCTATAATTTCGACAAAAATATGATGACCTACTGGTTTGTATCGATACATCGGCAACCAGAATAAATATATTATATTAAAAATATTTACTATCCAAGAAAATTTATCTGTAAAGAGAATTTTTTTTTCTTAGAAGAAAATAGCACAGGAGTTTTACACCATTATACTAAGACCTATTTAGGCATACGGAACAGACAGAACATTGATATACAGTAAAAAAAATTAAAAAAAACAGCGAATTCCAAAATTCTTCGAAAACAGTGAGAAAAAAAGAAAACAAAATATTGATGGAAGAGAGAGAAAAAAATAAAATCCACGAAATTCATTCCTATAAAATTAACATTATTAATTAATTAATTAATTGTATTCCTCTTAACTAAATTTAAAGTAGATATAGAGCATAAAACGCAACAAAACAAAAAACGTTAAAACCATAAGGATCTCAGGAAATTTTGACAAAAATTAATTCCACTCCTAGGGTTTGTTCTTCCAAGAAAAAAATAATTATTACTTTAAGCAAGACCATTAATCAGACATTAATGTAAACCTCTAAAAACGTGTTTTAGGGGTCACGAAATGATGACCTTCGACGCAGTCAGTTATTTATGACGAAAATAGGACGAATTATATTCGAAGACGTCATAAGGGCACGGTGGTATTTTTCGCATTAAATATAATTAGTTGAGCTCATATCTTATTGCTTATTAAGTATTCTAAATTATTTTATAGGCAGTGCTGACGTAATAGTAGTAATTCGAATCTCTATGGAGGAGTGTAAACTGTTATATTTTGCTTTTTCTTTATTGTACCTGAAATAATAGCACACTCAGGCAAGGCCAATTAATATCTAAGCGGATGTGAAGGGGCTATTACGTCTTCGCGGAAGAAAAATGAAAAAGGTTTGACTTATTATTTAGGAATTAATAGCGGCGTATTTTCCATAGGCATTTATAGAAATAAGTTGCCATTTAGAGTAGAAATATGTTATTATTGCTTTTCTTTTCTCTTTATTAGTTAAGTCACGACCAGAAATTGTTCTGTAAAACAACACGTCTATAAAATATGGCTTGAAAGATCAGACAGATATCACTTTTTTTTCTTTTCTTGTTCTACCTTACCTCGCCTTTTAGGCTATACGGGGGTTTTCCCGGGCCAAGGGGTGAGGGCGGGGATTAATGCTAGAATTAAAACACTCCCGCGACGGCGTGGACGCGAATTCGTAATTGTTTTATTGTCTCCAACTTCGGTTATCAGGTTTCCAGCCAACGCTTGATGCTGTGCACACGCGTTAGTCCGCTCGGCCACCCCGCTCATCAGAGATATCACCCAGGAGGGATTCCTTCAGGCTTCATAACATATATGTGGTATACTTGCGTATCTATGAGGGGGGAGTGGCTTTCGGGCTGAAGCCCCCTTAAATAGAATTTCTTTTTTTCATTGTCCCATATATGTTTCTGTGGTTGGTCTGAACTATATATTAATCAATTAAAATTTATTTTCTTCTTTATTTATAATGCATGTCATTGGCAGATCCAGAGATTTTCTAAGGGGGACCTTATTTATGTATATGGGCCAGAAGGGAGTTTTATGGTGGAAATAGCACCATTAAACTTTTTAAGGGAAATTATTTTGACGGATTTTTAAGCAGGGGGGTATTTCAAGATGGTTATGAATTTACGGACCTCAGTAAGTGTAATTGTGTATTAACTACGATTCTTCTAATTCTACTTTCTCTTGCTCTGTTTTTATTAAAAAGTGAGAAATAATATATATATATATATATATATATATATATATATATATATATATATATATATATATATATGTATATATGTATTTTATTGCTCACTTTTTCATAAAAACAATATACTTACACAACAAACAATATATATAAAATTCATATATATATATATATATATATATATATATATATATATAAAGAATTCATCCCTAAAAGCATTATTTACCATAATTCTGTAATTAAATAAAAGCTGTATGCGTTTTTATTTTTTTTGAACAGATAAAGCAATGCTTGCAAAGTATTATGTGGTGTGTATTATTTTGTTACCACTCCCACAATCAAAGTTTACTTTGACTAGGCAAATATGCCTTATCACCATAGCTGCTGGTTTTTTTTTTTTTAATGAATTATGAATACAGATTTAAGAATATATTTTTTTTTGTTTTCAGGAACCAAAGAAATCTTGCATAATGTCCACGGAAGGTTTCTTCCCAGCCAACTGATAGCAATAATGGGTCCATCAGGAGCAGGGAAATCCACCCTCTTGGATGTCCTCTCAGGATACAGGTGATACACTCTTTAATACATTTGTTACTTCAGCTTTGGACCGACTCCTGCGCCACAACCAACCTCTCCAAATGGGCACTCTTAATTAACTAGTTAATTAAGGGGAAACCCCTATCTTTTGAACATGATCTCAGTCCAATCACCTTCCTTCACAACTGTTGCCATTGAAACAGTACTTCCTTATAAAGCACTGAATCCTACATCGTTGTAGTGGTACAAGTTTTTTTTTTTCACTTTATTAAAAAAGTAAATCGTGTTTAATATTCTATTAAAAAAGTAGATAGTTTTTAATATTTTATTGATAAAGTAAATAATGTTTAATATTTGTATTTGGAAACAGCCAATAGAATCACACAATTGAAGATGTTGTGATATCAATAACATGTGCTGGAAAAGTTCCATTGTAGTATATTCAAATTAGGGCTGAAAAGGAAAAATAAAGAAAAGTTTTGCTATATTTGTAAGCTTTGGTATACTCCAGTATTTTTTTTTTATTTCAAATTTGCTGACAGAAATTTTGCTAGGAATTTTTGTATTTTGGATACCTATGACATTTCTTTACTAAACAGAATTTTTTTGGAACTGTTGGTTTTCTTTGAGAAGAATATCATTGAAAAATTGAAAAAAAAAAAAAAAAAAAAAACTTGTAACACTACAATCCATGAAGGGTCTTAGGTTCAGTACTGTGTAAGGGAGTGATGTTTTTTGGTCAATGGTTGTGTAGAAAGATGATTTCACTAAGATCACGCTCTACCACCAGTTTTTCCCCCTTAATTAATTAATCAAGAGTACCTACTTTATAGAGGCCAGTTCTGCCCCAGAAGACTCTGCTGACTCCAGGATCGATCCACAGTCAATGATACAAAATAAATAGTTACCTGCCATCGACCGGATTCGAACCCATGATATTAAGGAAGTCACACTGGAGCTACCCCATTCCTTTATAAAAAATTAAATAAATAAAATTGTCTATATGTAAAGTTTATTCTAAAATTCCTCACTAAGCGGTTAAAGCGCTGTAAAAGTGGTCAAGTTCCCAAAATTGGCATAAATATATACCCAGTAGGTATTAGTGAGAGTTCCTGCACTAGTAAACTATTTTTAGTCTATTTTTGTTTGTTAGTGTTTTGGTTACATATTTGTCAGAATATAATTATGAATGAAAATAATTTTATTATTCTGGGACTAGTGTCCCTTTAGAAGAAGTTACAAATACAGAATATATATTAATATTTTGTTTTGTCCGTAAAATACAATTTAATATTTATAGGTTGATTAGGAATAGAATAACATTATAAATAATGAAAAGATATAAAAATGTGTAAATATAAAATATACAGAGAAAGTAAGTAAGTAAATGAAATATTGATGAATAACAAAGTAATCAGATTATATGCATTTATCTTCAGGATCTCAGGTGTAAGAGGAGGAGTCACAGTTAATGGGCGAGAGAGGGACCTGGATGAGTTCCGCAGGGTCTCCTGCTACATCACCCAAGACGACAGGCTGCAACCTCTGCTCACTGTCAACGAGAACATGAAAGTGGCAGCGGACCTCAAGCTGACTGCCAGGTACACGGAGAAGGAGAAGTTTGCCATTGTGAGTACAAATATTTCTGAGATACTTTTCCTTAAATTTTCATTTGAAATTATAAAAAAAAAAAATGATTTTTTTATTGGTTTTCAGATAGATGAAATTTTAAAAATGCTGGGTTTGTACGAATCCAAGCCCACAAGAGCCGCTCAATTGAGCGGTGGACAAAAGAAAAGACTGTCTATAGCACTCGAACTAGTCAACAATCCCTTAGTCATGTTCCTCGACGAACCCACAACGTAGGTATTCAGCAATTTGCAAATTTTATTTATTTTGTAAATTCTATCTTGAATAAGATTGTATCTTAATAAAATATGCCCACTATTTCTGAATCTACTCCAAGGTGTCAGCAGGTTTCAAGATCATTTTGAACACACTGTGAGTTGACTACTGAGAAATATCAAAAGTAGCTCAGATTTGACAATCATGTACAAATAACGACATATTATTGCCTGAAAAACACACAGAGTGATTTACTAAGAAAAAACTGCAAAGTAGTTTTTCCTTAGAATTTTTTGATTTTCTTAAATGCACTTGATACAAATAATATATAAAATTATTATATTAGTTATTAATTATACAATATAGGATATGGAGAAATGTATTTCAAATGTCGATCTTATTTATAATACTATAAAAATTATGTTTACTTGATTAGATTTATTTCCTAGCAGTGGAACCGGGATTTAATTTTATTTTTTTATAACTGTAAATACTTTTGATGTTATAGAAAGAAACTATATAAAATGGTGTTTAAGTGGTCCTTAAAGATCTAATAAAATAATAAAAAATATAATAATAAACTTTAAAAAATGATAACTACAGGAACAATACTGCTTTCAAGAATAATTTTTTTTTTTTTTATTGAATTGTCCTTTTAATAGTTGTATATACCTTATAATTTAAAAAAGATTACTTATTGTGATTGTTCAATTATTAGCTTTGACCACTCATGAAAATAACTGTGGACCAATGAAAAAATTATTTTTCTATTTCATTTTTTTTTTTTTGGAGGAAAGAGGGGCTTAAAATTTAAAATTAACAAGATCTCCGGGAAGCACCTTATAAAGAATTGTAAATTTCAATGAACTGCTAAGAAATATTTTGGTTACTGACTTAACCTAACCTAGTCCTGTATCGGATAAACTCAGGTCATTTCAGGACCTGTCTACAATCCACACATATATTATTACAGTAAGGCTCAAATTGGTTTTGTACCAAATATAAGCTCCTGTCATGCTAAAATACCATGAATAGGGGACCGTTGGATTCAGAATTTCAGGGGGGGTTAGCGAATCGTATTCTCCACTTTTGTTTTTCTTTATAAAATAAATAAAGTTGATACAAACATTTTGCTAGGCTTCAATACTGGAACGGTGGTAGGTCTGTAGATCGATACGGGACAAATTGGATCTTGAAGATTTTGATGCGTGCAGCAAGACCCAGAGAGTTCCTCTGGAACTATCGGATCATGCGTTTTTAAGCCCGAAAACGTACTATTTTCGAGATAGGGCATAGGGTTCGCATCCACACAACCTTACATTAATTGTACTGTCGTTGAATACATGTCTCATTTCGTCGACTTGAGGTCTCTATGATCGAGAGAGGAGTTTATATTATTTATCGATGGTGTTTTTGATCGGCAAGCCATATCATAGTAATTTTTCACCAAATCTCAATATTGAGCCACCAATTTTCGAAGGTTTCCTTCTCCTTCAGGCGGGCAAAATAGTCCAATCAGCCCGAAAATTGAGGCAAACAAGTTATGAAAGAAAACAAACTTTATTTGCGAATAACTAAAGAAGTATACATTATTCCCTCATCATCGAAATCAAAAAATCATCGAAATGGGGCAATTTTTAGCAAAGATTCAGCTTACTGAAATTTATAAACATGTTGGTACCAAACAAAAACAAAGATTTAACTTAATTTTTGTTTCTTTGTCGATTATATTTATCGATAAAGTAACATTTGATTTCTTTATGTTTTGATACGTTGCATTATTTTATTTTCTTATTAATTTGGCATTTGATAACAATATGCTGTGCGAATTTTTCGCACGGGCCTACTAGTGTGTTTAAAATTATCTTGAAACCAAGCACCATTTTGTTGCATTAGTATCAAAATATGTTTTTCTTTGCAGTGGTCTTGACAGCGCTTCCTGCCTCCTTTGCATTCAATTGATGAGAGTCCTGGCCGAACAAGGAAGAACTATAGTATGCACAATACATCAGCCATCTGCCTCTCTTTTCCAGAACTTCGACCACGTTTACATCCTCGCAGAAGGGCAATGCTTGTACCAAGGATCTGCCAACAGTTTAGTCCCTTACCTTGAAAGCGTGAACCTACCATGTCCGATGTACCACAATCCTGCAGATTATGGTACGTTAAATGTCTACAGTCTTTTAGAGTTATTCATTTATTTGAATGCTTAATATCGGCATCATTTATAATTAATAAACATTTTACAGTTATTGAATTAGCATGCGGAGAATATGGCAGAGACAAAATTGAAACTTTAGTACAAGGTACTCAAAACGGAAGATCTATTAGGTGGTTCAAAGACGCCGATCTACTTCCTCCTACATCACATGTAGAAGGTATGTTAATATGCACTTTAACAAAACAGTCTGAAATACCAACTTTTTAACCAATAAATTTAAAAAAATTAATTTCATCTTATTGATTTTTTTTAGTTTTTAACTTTAATTTTAATAGATGACAATAAAAAAATAATAGGTTTTTCCACTCCAGAAGGAATAATCGAGTTATTCTATAAATTGAAGATAATAGAATGAGTTTTGGGGTAAATCTGCTCATAGAATATTTAAATACTTGAAGAGGAAGATGGTTGGGATGGTCAGTCAAAATAAAAAAATAGTAAAAATAAATAACTATATTTATTTTTATATTTGCCGATTTTTCGGCCTGAAGTTCAGGCCTTCATCAGGGTTAAGAAAAAAACAGATAACAATAGGTATGAGTAACTATAAACATCGAAAAATAAAGTATTACAATTAAAAAGGTGAAAGGCATAGACTAAAAAATGTAGGTAGACTAAACTTAAATTAAAATAAAGTAGATGGAGTGAACATTAAAGGAAAATAAAGTAGGTAGAATAATAACAGTAACAGAGAACTGAGAAATAAATAATAACGGCAACAAAGCATGGACTAATGAAATAAACATAATCAAAATAAGGTTAAATAAGAAATGAAAAATGGTAATCTTAGAATAAAATGTAGAACAGAGAAAAGGAATATGAAGTTATATAAGGAAATAATAGATATAATAGAAAATTGAGATATTGAAAATTCTATCTAAATATACTGACTTTGTATAAGAAAATAAAAAGTTAAAATAATGTAAAAAAGATAAATGAGCAAATATATTAATATACACAAAATAGAGATGGAGATATAGAAAATAGAGTAAGGAAGGAGGAAAAAAAAGGAGAAAACTGAGATAAGAAAGATAAAAAGATAATCTGGTCAAACCAAGAAGCGTGTAAGACAAAGGTGTAGCAGCAAAGAGTAGAGCTACATAGCACCATCTGTAACGGTTTACTGAAGTACGTGAACTAAAGCACAGAAATGTATATAATGGTATACAATATGTATACAAAATGTATATAATTTAGTTATATAAAATGTATATAATAATTAAATACTTGTGAAAATTTCAATTGACCCTATCTTTGTTAACATTGGTTTATAGAATTTATTTTATTTTTTTATGCAGAGAATTTAATTATCTTTCGAATAGTTGCTACTAAAGCCACATACACAAACTAATGGTTGAAAACACAGTTTTTTTTACTGTGATGGCTCTGAAACTTTAAGGTCTGTGGAAAACAGAACATCAAAAATTTTATCTTTAAAAAAAAATTAAAATGCTGTGTTTTTATTTTTCACATGACTTAGTATATATTTTTGCGATAAAATGCATAATTTTTAAATTATATCCAAATAATTTGTTTTTCTCCATAACTTCTTTCCTCGTTTTTCTTGAGGATGTGCTACATAAACAAAAACTTGAAGGCGAAGACTTTAAACAAGTTTTATCAAAATCATGAGATCAATTTTGGTGGTATTCTATATAGAAAAACACGCTTTTCTTCTATTAAACAGCTGTTGCTGCACACAGAAAGCACATTTTAAGAACAAGCATCTGGAGACCAAAAGACAACAAAATAAAAAAAAATCAACAAAGATAGTTTACCTGCTCAAGGAATAATATTGTGGCACTGACAGACCAATGGCTAAAAATGCATATTTTTTTACTAAGGGGGCTCAGAAATGTAAAGATTTGTTGAAAACTACTCATCTAAAATTCAACGCTATTATGATAATTTTCTTATCTAGTAGTGGTAGGAAATTAACTAATCATATTGTAACAATAGAAAAGTGTATTTAAAAAGCAGAACATTAAAAATGTTAATTTTGAACCATTTTGTTAATGAATTTGTTAATGTTAACTTGTACATGATTGAAATAATTAAATTATTTTTTTTATTTTTCAGTTTCTCACAAGAGTCCTAGGCTTCCCGGAAGGATTCGATGTTACACCAGTCTTCAAGACACCACACAATTTCACCAATTATCAGTTATAATCAAAAGAGGATTTATTAAAGTTAAAAGAGACTCGGTAATTATATTCTTGATATTTATCTAATCAATTTAATGATCAAAATTTTATATATATATATATATATATATATATATATATATATATATATATATAACTTTCTAAATGGACAACATAAAAATTTGTTTTTATACTGACAAACACCAAATATTCAGTGTACAGAATCGTCACACTTTATATTAGCTGTTGTAAGTGTCATAGTTTAAATTAATTGGGTTTATAATTATTGTAAAATATAAGTTGTAGAAGATTATGGAGAGTGATAAAAACAAATGACTAATAATTGAGGAGCTTACTTTTAAAAGGGCTCATATCTACAAAATAAATCAGCTGTTTTTTCACATTTAAAATTAATTGTGATCAACTGAATCAAATCTTCTAATCGTTTTCTGTTAAAACTGAGAAACGAATCATTCTCTCTTGGAAGGCTTAAATTAGAATGATTATTTAATTGGCACTCCCATTCATTTTTTTATCCTAATGTAAAATTTCTCAGAACAGATTCAAGGGTCCCGGGTTCGAATTTGGCTGATGTTAAAATGATTTCTCATTTGCCTTGGATTGACCATGGAACTGGGAGACCATCTTGGGGCACACCCATCCCCTATGAAATGGGTACTCTTAATTAAGGAGAAAACCTGGTGGTTGAGAGTGATCATGGCCTGATCACCTCCCTGCACTAATGTTGGCCTTGAAACAGTAATTCCTAACAAAGTACTGAATCCAAAATCCTTCATGGATTATAGTGGTGCAGGGTTTTCTTGTATTCTTAATTAATATTTTGTTTTTAATTATGTATAAGTTTGAAAATGATGAAAAAACAAGATTAAACTTATCACAAGAATATATTTTCCAGACCCTGACTTACATGCGGATATACGCTAATATACTAACTGGCCTAATGTTGGGAACACTTTATTACAACTCGGGAGTCGATGGATCAACAGTTTTAGACAACTATAACCTACTTTTCTCCATTATCATTCATCATGCCATGTCGACTATGATGCTTACCATTTTAACTTGTAAGTTTATGTGTATTTATTTTATTTTATTTATTTTACGTGCATATATTTTTTTTAAGAAGAGTGCCGCAATATGAAAATATTCACTTTTTTTTTTCTTAGAACTACTATTCTTTTTAATTCATAATTTTAATATTTACTGTAATAACAATTTATTTTTATAAAAACTGCTGCTATTGAATTCCATGATTCACACTTAAATAATCAAAAAATGAAAATTAACCTTATTTTTCTTTAATGAAAAATATGAGCATAATTAATTAATTGGATGTCTGACTTGATATCTTAAAGTTAACTAAGGGCAGTGATAAACTTCAATATGCAAACTTTAAACACTTTGCCATTTTTGAATTTTTGAAAAACTTTGTAAATTCCATTTTTTCATATTGTGTCACTCTAATGGACAATATGTATTTGTATATATTTTAGTATGCAAAGTTAAAAGAGTTAGATTTTTTTTCTGTTGGCATTACAGACCTTTTAGATCTTTTGCCGCCTTAACAAGCCTACTCCATCTCTGCCTGTCTTGGACTATTTCTTTCCATTTATCTACACGTAGCTCTATTGCATCTTTGTTGATTCGATCTATCCATTTGTGTTTTGGTCTTACATGTGGTCTTTTGACTTCTATTGAGGCATTCATTGTTACGTAGAGATTTCCAGATGGAATGCTATGAGCTCTAGCCCATCTTAATCTCCATGCCTTCATATCATGTGATATTGATTGACAAGTTTCTGTAAGCAGTTTTTTATTTGTCATTCCTCTACATGTGTTAGTACTCTGATCCCAGATCGCTCCGGTTACCGTGCGGAGGATTTTTCCCTCAAATCTTTTTTCTAGGGTGCTGGTCAGTGTCAAGGTCTCACAGCGATATATTATAACTGGCTTTATCATGACATTGTACACCCTTAATTTGAGATTTTTCGGGATTTCAATATCTTTGAGAGGGAGAAGAAAGCTCTATTTGCGCTAGTTAAACGCTGGTCTATTTTGGCCCATTGATCATTCATCGAGGTTATTGTGGAGCTGAGGTATTTGAATTTTTTCTATGCAGATCCTGTTATTGGGGTGGAATTTTTGGCTTATTATCATATATTTTGTTTTGTATTCGTTAGATATTGAAAAAAAATATATAAAAAGCTAATAATTACTTTATTATTTATTAATTGTATAAATGATATGTATAATTTATTAATGTAAATAGTTTTTAATATATAAATAAATATTACAATAGAGGTGGTAACACAGGTTCAGATCGTGAGTAGCTTGAGCATCTTTGGCTCTTGGGCCTGTTTGCCATTGTCTTCCAAACTTTTTGGTCCATTGGCCACATTGAGAACTTCACTATGTCCCGCGGGTTGCATTCATCCCTCCATTAAGTCCCTCAGGACACAGATTGTGAAGAAAAAAAAAGCTTGTTCAATAAATGACACTTCAATCGTGAAATGAACTTCCTAAGAGAAACAACTCATGCAATAAATGTTGTAGTAACATTGTGTTTGAGTAATTTAATAAATTTAATTTTTTTAAAATGTTACCCTGTAACCGAAAAATAAATTCTGTAGGCCAGATTGAAGATGCTTTGCCAGGAAGTAGTTGGGAGACCCTTGTATTAAGAGTTACATTGAATCTTGACTGTTTTTGTTTTAATACAACGGAATCCCAAAAGAATAATGTTAATATGTTTTAAATAATAATGAAAATAAGTCAATATTACTTTCCTTTACTTTACTACGTAGCTCTACAGCCCGGGGTGGGCCTTGGCTTCCCTGACAACATTGGACCAGTCCTCTCTGCACAACGCTCTCCTCCTCCAGTTCGTTATACTGAGATTCTCGATTCTCCAGGTCCCTTTCCACATCCCGAATCCAACGTCATCCTCTCCTTCTGCTACCATACATATTTCCAAGCAGAATTCTTTTTTGCATTCTTGACCCAACCATTCAATTCTCCTTGCTCGTACGAAGCAGACAATGTCACAAGATCCATGTAGCTAATATAGTTCACTGTTCTTCTAGATTCTCCATTCACCCTCTTTCAATACAGGTCCATACATTTTATGGAGAATTTCTCTCTCTAAGATTTTCAACGCATTTATCGTGAGGGTGCAAAGAGTCCAAGTTTCCACAAAATATGTCACTACTTCGTGTTGGAGTAATTTAATAAATTTCATTTTTTTAAATAGTTTTTAAAAATTATTTATAACAGAAAAATAAATTCTGTAGGCCGGATTGGAGGTGCTTGCCAGGCTGTGGCTTGGAGACCCCTGAATTAGAGTTACATTGAATTTCGACTATTTTTATTTTAATATCACAATCCCGTAACAATAACATGTTTTAAATAATAATGAAAGTAAGTAAATATTACTTCTAATAAATTAAAGTTACCCTTTAACATGAAACATTAATAATAATATCAAAAACATTCAATTCATATCTCAGAAATAAAAAAATACAAAAAATAAGAACTGTAACTCAGAACTACTTGTCAGCATGACGCTTATTCTCTTATGTTATAGTAGAAATAAAACTAATTTCAATTAATTCACATCAATATTATTTAAGAGCAGTTATATATTTGAAAAGGTTATATTTTATTTATGTTAATTAAATGTTTCAGTCCCAATGGAGATGTCGATACTTATAAAGGAACATTTTAACAGATGGTATTCGTTGAAGTCTTACTTTATTATGGTGAATATAGTCGACATACCAGTCGCTGTAAGTAAATCCTTTAATTACATTAATTTCCTAATTGGTTAATTATAAAATAATTAATAAAAACTTTAAATTTAGGATATTATTAAAAGATTCAAAATTAAAACTATAATAATAAAAAAAAAAAAAAGATTGGAAGAGAATAATGGATAATTTAATGCTAGGTTGGGCCAAGGTGAGGCAGTTGTCTCTCCTTTAAACGTAAAAGAATTCAAATATAAATAAAAAATTTCCGAGAAATTGAAAATCAGCCAATTTTTTAGTTAGATTTTCTACACTATGAAAAAACTAAATACTTTAAAAAAAAACCTCTATAAGAACAAAAATTAACTTAAAAATTGGCCACCCTACTGGGACAATTAGCTACACCTTTGAAATTTAAATTGTCCACTATTTTGGCTCTTAAGTAATCGAGTGAAGTAAAGGCAAGATCTGTATGAAAAATAAAGTTTTTCTAATGTTTATTCTTATATTTTTCAATATTCATCACCATTTCATTGATTTTTTTTTTTTTAATAGAACTAATTCTGTTATTTACTGTATTTTATTAAATTATCATGACTTTTATTTATTATCATGATTTGATAACACCATTTGATTAAAAATAAAAATTGTCTCGATCAATCCTTGATATATTAGAATTTGTGTTATGAACCTATTCTGAAATTTTATTTAAATTTTCTTCCACAGACATTGAAAGAAAAATTAAAACTAGTTATGAATAATAATATAAAAAAATTCATTTATCCCTTTTTATGCCCCAAATTTTTATATTTCAAAGGTTATTTTGATAAATAATAAAGATATATGTTACCTACTACCAACTTAAACGGTCTGATGTTAACTAATACTTCTATAAAAAAAAAATTGATACTTTCCTCCTTAATTTATAAACGTTTTACTTTTAGTAGCATAATTTTTATTTTATTTTCATTTTTTTTTGTTGTTGCTAACTAAAATTTATAACTTCATAATTTTGAATTTTTGAACATTATTTTCAATTAATAGTTTTATAAGATAATTGGCTGTAATTCATATCGATTTCTTTGTTAAATAAACTTGTGAAGAACATTTCATTCAAATAACACATGGTATGCCTGTTATCGTTAAAGTGGCATTAAGTTTGAATACTTTTGCTCTAGCATAACTAATTAGTTAAGAAAACATCTGGAGTAACAAGAAATATTAACCGCTTTTCGGTACCTCTTGATTTGCGGGACCTTTGAATCACCGACCAGCTGACCAGACCACTAGCGGATCCAGGATTACAGCGATTTAAAAATTAAAATTTGTATATAAAAGAGTAATTAAGCAAATAAAAATACCCACAATCTAATGTAAATATATAGTACCTTAGTAGACAGTACCTTTATATATACAAATTTTAATATTTATATCGCTGTAATCTATACAATTAAATATTAAATAATACCAACGATAGCATTTATGAAAACTAAATGTATGTGTACAGAATATTGTCGGAGTCCGTGTTATATTAAGCTCATGTTACGTATGGAAGCCTGTTCTAATTTTTTGAGCAAGATTGGGTGCTCTCGTATTCCTTTGGTTCCTCCATTACGAATACTATTCGTTACGATCTCTTATTTCTCCTTCAGTTAATTATCAAATTCTGTCATATTTTATATTTAAATATTTTTTATATCTAAATATTTTTTTTATATCAAAGATTACTGTGAAATGGTTAATTATTTCAAATAAAAAAAAAAATAAAGGAAACTAATATTGAAAATTAGCTATTTAAGCCCTGTTAGAGAACATCAATGAGAATAACACCTACATTATATTAAAGACTGCTTAATAATACACCGATATAATCAGTTTAATCAAAATTGCTAGAGCCTTTCATGAGAAAATTGTAAAAATGTGTTAAATCGAAGATATAAAGTACCACTTTTTGTTTGCCAATTTTGACGAAAAAGTTGCTGTAACATCCCAGGAATATACAAACCATAAATATGCAATCTCAGTTTCATACGACTTTTCGTTTTTGAGTCAGACTGTTCACATACACACAGACCATTTGGAAGACTTACACTATAGTGTATATAGTGTCTATAATTTTTACTTTCACTTCCTCTTTGTCTGAAAATTCTTATTTCTGCTAGGAAGAGGGTGGTAAGTGAAATTCATTTGATGTACGCACCAGATTTTTTATATATATAATGATTATTACTTTGGGAGAAATACAAAAAAAATATCAAACTACCTTTATGTAATGGTGTTTAAGTGGTTCTTGAGATAATGTTTTAATAATTATTTCATAAGACATGGTTATATTTTACCATTTTGGGGGGAGTGGCTGCCCAAAAGCCTCCCTCTTCCCCCGTAGATCCACCTGTGGACCAGACCATTCTGAGTCTGTAGACTAAAAGAAAAAAAATAGGTAGCATTAATAAGCTGAGAAAGGTTAGGACAATTGTTAAGCTATCAACTAACAAATACTTTTTTTTATAAAATTATTAAACAAAAAATATTTAAATTTTTTCCAGGCTATTTGCTGCATTCTGTTTTCAGTCATCGTATACTTACTGTCAGGCCAGCCACTGGACGACATGGATAGATTTTGGGTCTTCTTGACGGTATCATTGCTAGTTGTCTTCATTGCCCAGAGTATTGGTTACGTCGTAGGAGCTATATTTAACAGTGTAGTGGTGAGTTCCTTATATAGTTGTGTACATAAAATTATTATTTCATAAATATTTATACATCTTCTGTTCCTCTCATCGACAATATTTTCTCTGATCATATAAATTAACCAAACTTCCAGCACTATTAATTAAACAACTATTAACCCCCTTCTACCTTCGGGCAGTGAAAGAACAAAGCATGTGGAATATGTATGTATATTATATTATAATTATATATGTAATAGTTAAAAACAAAATTATGGAGGATAAGAAAAAATAAATCCCAGCACTTTTCCTACATCTACAGTCTTCAACAATTAAAATCCTTCGTCCGTCCTTAGAAAACAGGATCTTGTGCTTCAAACCTCTTTATTCTTTCACACAGAACTAAAACCTCTGAACGTTGCTTTCATGCCATCTTTATGTTACTTTCTGGAATTAGTGGAACTAACTATCCCTACCATATTGGATATCTAATATCCATCCACCATGTTCTTTCCCTGTCATAATTCAGATCCCTTATTTTCCAATACCTTCTCACATCTCTACTAAAAGACTTCACTTTTGAAATTAAGAATAAATTGTTGATTATGAGAGAATATTAGTTTTAATATTTAAATTTAAACTTTGTGATCAATTCATAGTTTTTATTTTTTGTTTTTCTTTTTGATGTTTATTTATTTATTACAATGGGACCTTATCCCAGAAAATATTTTTTTTTCCATTCTATACTTTTTTTTTTAAATTATAGAATTTTTATTTGTAATAAAATATTTCAGAACGGAACGTTTGCTGGACCGATTCTAATAGTACCGATGATGATGTTCTCTGGCTTTGGGGTCAACTTCAGAGATATACCTGGATACTTACGATGGGGTACTTACGTTTCCTACCTGCGTTATTCCCTCGAAGGATACGTTGGGGCAATATACGGGATGAATAGGACAACGCTCCCATGTGATGGGTTTTATTGCCACTATAGGTATCCAGAAAAGTTTCTATACGATATTGCAATGAAGGGTGATGTGTACAACGACTGTATTATAATTCTAGTTATTATGTTACTGCTGGTGAAATTCGCAGCTTACATTCTTCTTAGGTGGAAAATTCGATCTCTTAGATAACAAATTTATTATTAAAAAAAATTTAAATATATATTTTTGCCAGTAAAGAAACTGAGTAATCTAACCTGCCAAATGTAAATTAGAGTACTTGTGGAGAAAGTAGTAAGCCATATGGTGGCTGGGCGAAAAATTGTATCAATCATCTGTAGGTGGATTTCTCGGGGAACCAATTATTTGGTTATCAATTCTGATCAACTGGACACATCTGCTACTTTCGGAATTCCATCTACAGTGTGATCGATGTGATCTTGTTTCTCCCTAAGATATGGTAAACCGGTTTCTCCCTGAGTACTTAATATAGTAGATAAAGATATAATGAAATATATATATTTTTTTCTAATTCAAATTATGTACAAGAGGAGCGTTTTCGAAAGATCAATGTTACCAAGAGTTTAATAATATTTATAAATTGTATATATTTATTTAAGCAGTTAGCTATTAATAACTGAAAGTTCAAGGGAATATTAAATTATTTTAAGATAGAAATTTATTATTTGTAATTGAGATTCAGTACCTTAAATGAAGATTATTTGAGATAATTCAATAAAACTTGAATGAATAAGATCATGGTTATGAATGAAATAAATGATCAAGGTAAAACTTGAATGATTCAAGGACAGTAGACACAAAAAATTTAGTTATTATGGGTCAACTGTACATATTGAAATATATGTAAATGTATTAAGCATACATAATAAAAGACATACTCAAATATAGTTGGTAATATTTATAATCATCAAAAGTACTAAAAAAATTATGAAATTTTATTGTAAATTTAAGATTATTTTTGTAAAAGGAATAATTTATGATTAAATTATTAGTTAGACTGATTTTAAATATAATGTTGATATTAAAAAAAATATATAAAAAAGTTCAATCTTTTATAAAAATAAGATTAAGGGTAATATTTTAGAAAGTACTGAAAATTTGTAACATTGAATAAATGTACAAATATTGTGATAATATTTAGATTTTTTAAAATTTTCATTGTGTTAGTAATATTTAAATATATACAAATAGATATTTAGGGGCCTAAATAGTCCATAGGCCATATTTTATGATACAACTTTTATAATTGTTATCATACTAAGGGATAGAAAAAGCAAGTAAAATTTATCATAAGAGAAAAATACAATTTGTTTTTTTAATGGATGTTTTTGTAATACCCAAACTACAGATAAATTATTTAATATATTCATTTTATGTAATATATAAGGCACAAATAAACATTTTTAAATGTTTATGTTTTTCTTTTTATGTATATTTACCTGAGGTGTATGATAGCTCAGTGAGTAAGGCACTGTTCTGTACTCTTGGGACTGAATTTGAGTCCAAGTCGAGTTATTATTTATTATGCTACTCCAATCATCGGGTGACCCTTCTGGGACACACTCGGCTTCTATAAAGCAGGTACGTTTAATAATTAATTTATTAGATAAGTAAGAAAACCTAGTGGTTAAATATGATCTCAGTCAAATGGTCTCCAAACACCACAATCATTGAAAGAAAGATAATATTTAAAAGATAAGAAGTTTATTTACATGGAAGTCCATATGATAAACTGTAAAATGAGCTTTCGAAAATCCTTCTTAAACCACCAGTTATAAATATGTATGCTATATGATGCATTTTTGTGGTAAAAAACATATTAAAATTCAGCTGTTTCAACAATTTTTGAAAATCTATATTAAAAACTAATTAAGGAAAAAATACTTAAATAATGGATTTGTAATTTATTTTTTATGTTTAACTGATATATCAAAAATCATGTAAATTGGAAACATGAAGATTCAAAATTATTTTTCATTGGGTTATTTGACATGAAATGACCCTTGGATATTAATTTAAATTTTAATGAATGGTTGGGAAAAATATAATAACAATTAATTTGAATTTTATTTCTTTATTTTACAAGGGAATTCTTCATTTATACAAACATTTCTTTTTTTTTTCACAATTTAAGAAACTATTCTTAATCTATCAGTAATCAACTTCAAAATTGCATAATTTAAAATTATTATTTAATAATGTTTATTCATGTACATTTGATAGTGCATCAATCATCTGCTAAAGATAAAATCAAAATATATATAATGTGTAATACCAATTATTTACATTTTTTTTTTTTTAATGCTTACAAATAAATGCTACTCCATTAGTTGAAAATATATTTATCCAATAAAATTTTTATTTGAAAGGAAGTTTGTTCAATATTAATCACACTTTTTATTTTGTAAACATTTGTACATAAAGTATAATATAGCAAAAACATATAAATGAGAGCTCTTAAATAGATTTAAACAGAAATATCTTATTAAGTAAAAGTATTGGTCTAATTCCAAAGACCATAACGACATAAGCTGTTTCTTAGGCAACATAGAACTTAAATATTTTATATTACTGTACAGAATTACCTCACTTCTCTCTTATCCCATAGTAGCAGAAGAATTTTCCTATTCAGAGTGAAGAAGAGGAAATAAATATAGATCGCTCTCAATCAATTAATATTACAAATAAATGGTCTTATAGCGATAATAAATCATATTTAAATATTTAACTGAATTCATAGGTATTATCATGGTTAGTGTCACAGTTGTAATTTATTTAATAGTTATTTGTAAATTAATTATTACTCTGGCAACACATCTAAACATTTTCTGCTAGACTAATCCTCCGAATATTCTAGACTATTCTTCATTTTCAAAAATCTTTAAAATGTTGCTCATCTCTTAAAGTAAACTCACATCCATAAAGAACAGTAGGAAGGATAATATTTTGGTAAGTTCTTATTTTTAAGTTTTGGGACAAGAGGTGCAAGCTAAGTAGTTTTGAAACTGAAAAATAATGAGCATTTCCCAACTTCAACCTAGCCTTAATTTCCTCTTGTGAAGAATTTTAAGAAAATTAAATTAAAAAGATTGAAGTTCATCAAGAGCTTTCATTTATAATCACTTACAAATCTAACTTATTTTCCACCTTTTTAAAATATTTTAAAGGTATGTGATATCATTAGGCCTATGAAAGGTATTAAAAGGGCAAAGGGTACAAATGTGCTTAAAGTTGCATTTTTAAAATTACCAAGTAATTTGACAACGATTTGTCGAAATTAAGTATTCGTCTACATATCATTCATTTACATCAAAATAATCATAAACAAACACATACAAAAGAGCATAAATGTGTATGTGTATGTTTGTGTATTTATTTATACAAACATATATATATAAAGTGAATTCTCCATCAATATACACATATAGATTTATTTCTAGTTCATTCGTCCTTAACGTTTTTTGATTTTTTTTTTTTTTTTTAAACGACCATTCAACAAGAAAAAAGTGACTTTAATTACATATTATTATGAGAAAAAAAAATTTACATTCACTTTGAACAACCAATTTTCACAAATATATATTTCAAAGAACACATTATCACAAGCTGAGAATATATTGTCCAAGTTTCAAAACAATTCTTCAGATTTATCTTGATATCATTGCAGGAAAGGAAGGACTCAAACAAAGCCAACTGAAAAATATAATAAGTTATTACTAATAATCATATAAATTATTTATATCAAAGGAGTGCGGACCTTAGGACAGTGCATCACAGGTAAACACGTGAAACCCCACCCACCCTAGAAAGGGTGCCCACCAGTTGTGGAAAATAAAAAAAGTAAAAATAAAAAAGCATATACGAATAATTAACCCTCCTCTATAAACGTTGACGCTGATCACATAAACATAAACTTTGGGTACCATAATTGTAATTTTGGACCAGGAAAAAAAAACACCTAATATTAATGTTTAGTTTCGTTTATTGAACTTTAAACAAATGATTTACAGAATATATAAAAATCTAAGGCATCTGAAATATTAAAAAATCATCAGTATTTTGTATCAGAGACTCTTACTCAATATTATAATCATGAAAAATCTGCAAAACGAATATGTAGTCAAAGATAGAATAAATTTATATAATATAAAAATATGTAAATGGAATTTTTAATAGTATGAAAGCATTTACTGTTGCAACTTGGAGAATACCGAATCCCAGAGGCTATTTTAGTGATTTTTTTGTGACAAAGTATATCTAACACATCTGCTCCTCCTTAAGTCATATTATATATTTTTTTTTTTTGCACTTTTCAAATTAGTTGATTTCTATACTAAAAGGCACTGAAATAATAATAATAATAATAATAATAATAATAATAATAATAAGGCTTAGCGAACCCGAAGGTTCGATGCCGACACCACCAATCGCTTGTTACACACCTCCCTCCACCGTTCGCCATCCAAACCCAGTCCCTTCAGATCGGCTTTAATGCAATCTTCCCACCTTCGCTTCGGTCTTCCCCTCGGACGCTTACCATTCGGCACAGCAAATATTAACCTTTTAGGAATTCTCTCGTTACTAAGCCCAACAACTTTACAAGCCCATTTGATTCGCCGCGATGAAATTACCTCAATTATATTACCCGGATACATCTCACGCAATTCGGCGTTGTGTAACCGTCTGAACTCTCCGGTTAACTCATCCTTCTTCGGTCCGAATATTCTACGCAATACTTTATTTTCAAAAACCTTAAGATCCTGCTCATCCCTTAATGTAAGCGGCCAAGTTTCGCATCCATAAAGAACTGTAGGCAAGATAAAAGGCACTGAAAAGATTATTATTTTTATTGAATTATACAGACGACATATTCTAAAGGACAAATAAAATTTGATAAATCTGGATTAGGCTCAATGAGGTTTTATCAAGATTCTGAATATCACAGCTGGTTGAGTGGACTAGTTGCTATGGAGTATCTCCAGAGAAATAACTATGTGGAAAAAAAAAATGTCATGAGGCCCTAGGGAAGAAGTTTGGTGATTCGGTAAAAAGGCACCATATTGTAATTATAATCCTAATTTGCTACTTGAAATAGTCTCCCTCAATATTGGGATATATCTATTATTAGGGGGCACAAGAGACCTCACATCTTCATAATGGATTTGAGAGGAAAGTAAGGAAAGGTAATTGGCGTTGCGATTCTAAATGACAACGGCTGGTGAGAAACCCTGAAAATAACAGAAATTGTTGTCCATGTAAGTACCCAATTATATATATAAATGGAATTTTTAATAGTATGAAAGTATTTACTATTGCAGCTTCGAGAATATCGAATCCTAGAGGCTATTTTAGTGATATTTTTTGTAACAAAACTTGTTAGTTCCTAACACTTCTGCTTCTCCTTTGGTCATATTATAAAATTTGTTTTTTTACGTTTTTCCATTTTGTTGATTTCTATCCTAAAAGGCAATGAAAAGATCAAATGAACATATTTATTTCTCTTGGGGGAATATGAAACCATCATTATATTATCCTGGTAGGAGAATAGTGATGAACCAACAGGAGCTAAAGATATCAATCATGGTGGAATCTGAGTTTAGTTTTTTCTTATAGTTCTTTTTTTGTTTTAAATCTTCTTTGGAGTTCATTAGTTACCTCCTGGAAAGAACAAAGAGCTTCCTCGAGGAACTAGGTGTTGATGTTGGGGAGCTAGCGATATTATTATATATTATTATAAATATTATTTTAGACTCCCTGGGGATCATCCACTATCATCTATATACTGATTGAGGACGTCTTGTATTGATTGTTTATTAAATTTTAAATTGGTCAATAATGGTCTTATCTTTTTTTCTACATTCGAGGAATTGCTGTGTTATATATGTGTGCGATGTTGTATTGAGATCCTGGCGTTTGAGAATTTAAAAAGAAAAATAATTTTTTTTATTATTTTTTTTTTATTGTTTTTATCTGGGGGAAATGTTTATTATGCTATGTCCATTGTTTAATATGGTTTATTGTTAATGATTAGTAAGAGTATTTTTATGAAAGGGGAGAAAAAAAAGAAAGGAAGATATTTCATATATATATAAAATAGAAAAAATGTAATATAAAATTAATGTCCGCATTAGTAGGGCAGCATTACTTTTAATAAAGTATTTCTCTCTCTATTGCTTTCTTTCAACAAATCAATAAGCTGTTGAATATATTTTGAAGGGAACGGTGGGTCATCTTTCTTTTTCGTCAATTATTTGCAAATATAGGGTGGGTATCTCTTGAATGAAGTAGAGAGTTCTGCCGTCGCAAAGAGATCAAACAATGAAATCATTGGTCTCATCTATTTCGAATAAATCTTCACCTTTATCATAATTTGATAGGACAACACTTCCATAACCATCCCTAATTCTTCAT